AAGGGCCAGTACACAAAACCTCTTTTGCATCCACTCCCCCTGGGCTCCTGTGGAGGGAGATTGGAGCAGGTTAGAGTTACATGAGAAGAGACTGGAGTTTGCGGCTCTGGGGAGAGAGCTAAAGTGACAGCCTCCAGAATCTCTGTGCTGCATCCCTCTCCCACACCCTACACACCATCTTTCCTGGATGGAGCACAGCCCTCCATCCTGCATCAGCCTGGGGGAAAGCACTAGCCCCACACTGAACTCCCTGTTGCCTTGCCCTGTGGAGCTTGCACCCTGCTGAGGAGTCAGCTGCCTGGGCCAGGGTAGAGAGATCTGGACAGACTTTGTGGGTGTCAGTGGCTGGGTTGTGTGGCTTTGGGGTGGGTGCCATTCACCCCACTTTCCTGTGAACCTGACTGGCATCACCCCCTCACAGATCAGCTAGCCCCACTCACCTCACACCTGTCAGAATGGCTATAAATAAACAAGTGTTGGTGAGGATGTGGAGAAAAGGGAACCTACCTAGTGCACTGGTAGAGGGAATGCAGACTGGTGCAGCGACTGTGGAAAGTGGTATGGAGTTATCTCAACAAATTAAAAATGGAACTGCCTTATAACCCAGTGATTCCACTCCTGGGAATATATCTGAAGAAACTTGAAACACTAATTCAAAAGAATATATGTACTCCTATGTTCATTGCAACATTATTTACAATAGCCAAGATTTGGAAGCAGCCCAAGTGCCAATCAGTAGAAGAATGAATTAAAAAGCTATGGTACAGCCCTGGCCGGTTTGGCTCAGCGGATGGAGTGTCAGCCTGCGAACCAGAGAGTCCCGGGTTCGGTTCCTGCTAGGGGCACCAGCAAAAAAAAGCTGTGGTACATCTATACAATAGATTACTATTCAGCCATAAAAAAGAAGGAAACCTTACCTTTTATGACAGCATGGATGGACCTGGAGAGTATTTTGCTTAGCAAAATAAGCCAGTCAGAGAAAGATAAGTATCATATGATTTCACTTACATGTGGAATCTAATGAACAACATAAACTAACAAAATATAAACAGACTCATAGATACAGAGAACAGACTGATGGCTGTCAGAGGGGAGGGGAGTTGAGGGGCTGGGTGAAAAAGGTGAAGGGATTAAGTTAAAAAAAACTCATACAGCCCTGGCCGGTTTGGCTCAGCGGTTAGAGTGTCGGCTTGCGGTACAGAGAGACCCGGGTTCGGTTCCCGCTAAGGGCATGTACCTCGGTTGCAGTTTGTCCCCGGCCCTGGTTGGTCGTGCGGGTGGCAACCACTCGATGTGTCCCTTCACATCGATGTTTCTCTCTCTCTCTCTTCCTCTCTCTCCCTCCTGCTCTGTCTGAACAAAAAACGCAAAAATGTCCTCGGGTGAGGATAAAAAAAAAAAAAACTCATACACACAAACAATAGTATGCTTGCTATCAAAATGGCATTTTAGTTTCTTTGGCTTCATAGATTCGGCTGATAGAACTTTACAACAAATAACACATTGCGGTTTCTCAATTCCTGCTGTAATTATTGAGGTAAAACTATATTGTAAAAAATCCTCATTATATTTTCTTTTCTTAACATTCTTCTCTACATGATCCATTGTCATGGGATGGTTTGCTAATGAAAATAATATATAACAATAACTTTAATAATACAAAAGATGATGCATGGCATAGTTTAGTTAATACAGTTCATTAAAGTTTCCTATGATTTACCATTCTGTGTTGTTGTTTTTTTACATACCTGTTACTATCACAAGGGGGCAGTATTCACATCAACCACAGCTGAATATAAAAAGACCGATCAGCATCCAGATTAAGTTCCCATGGTACAGATAATTTTTTTTGCAGCAATTGATTTTACAGTACATGATTTTACATTTACCCAGTAATTATAATTCATGAAGTGTCTTTTTACCTCCAATACTGCTGATTTCAGCACAGTAGCTGCTTTTAACAGAGTAGCTGCTTTCTACACAGTATTTGCTCTCTACACATGTGACTGGTCCGCATAAGTACATTATGGCGCCAACCCTGTCACATACACCTGTATTTGTAGGGGGTGTATGTGATGGGGTTGGTGCGGTTGATGTCATCACGCTGGGTACTCATATGTGGGCATGTGGGTGGACCTGCCTGGAGACGGATAGAGGAGCGGTGTCTCGGTTCCTAAGACCATCAGAAATATGTGTTTTCCGATGGTCTTAGGCGACCCCTGTGAAAGTGTCATTTGATCCCCAGGTTGAGAACCGCTGGTCTAAGTCCTAGTGATTAATGGGGAGAACTTGGGCATGTAAGCTAGCTTCTGTGCCTACTTCCTCAGTAACACTGAAATTTCTCTGCAATCACCCACATTCCTCAGACACTGCATAACCCTGCATGGTGCAGCATGCTAAGGCATGACAGAATTTGAAAGCATTTTAATAAACATGCTTTTCACACATGAAATATAAAGTCTGACAAATTATACCATTAAATGTAACTCAGTTTCTGAGGCCAAAAGCATTTTTTTTTTACCAGCTCCTATAAGCAGAAAGGAGTCTTGCTTTGTTTCCTTCCTTCAATCTCCAAAGTGATGTATAGAAGTCACACACCAAGTTAGAATTGAAAATGCATTCCTCCGGCTTCAACTCTAAGCAATTTAGAATTACTCGAATCACCATATATTTAGCTTCCAAGTTAAAAGAATGTTAATAGTAGTGACCACTTTACTCCTAGGAACCAAGATATTCTTCACGTAGAAGTTGGAATCACAAGTATTATCACCATAGAGTAATTAGAGCTGAAAAATTTGAGGTAGCCACCAAGACCCAAGTTCTCTGGACCCCTGGCAACAGGATGATAAAGCTCCTCTAAGATCACAGTAAGAGCAGGAAGCATGGAGCTTTTTCCACACTGCCCTTCATTTGCTAACTGGACAAGAACTGTTGTATTCAAGTACCAATTCTTTTTTTTTTTTTAATCCTCACAGGAGGACATTTTTCCATTTTTTGTTCAGGTAGAGTGGGAGGGAGAGAGAAGAACAGAGAGAGAGAGAGAAACATCGATGTGAAAGGGACACATCAAGTGGCTGCCACCCGCACAATAGACCAGGGCCAGGGACAAACTGCAACCGAGGTACGCGCCCTTAGCGGGAACCGAACCAGGGTCTCTCAGGACCGCAGGCCTACGCTCTAACCGCTGAGCCAAACTGGCCAGGGCCAAGTACCAATTCTTGAGAATAAATGTCATTTAACTTTTATTGCAAGCCAATAAATTCCATATGTCCTTATCTATAAAATAAGTCTTTTTAAAATCTTTACTGTTGGATATAAAATGTATTACAGATGTTCCACATTTTTCCCCCATTGACCCTCTCCTCCCCACTCCCACCCCCCTCCCGCCTTTTCCCACACTATTGTCTGTGTCCATTGGTTATGCATATAAGTTCTTTGGCTTATAAAATAAGTCTTAACAAATGACAAAGGTGTTTAAAAAAAAAGAACCTAGCCCAGCTGGTGTGGCTCAGTGGTTGAGAGTCAACCCATGCACCAAGAGGTCGCCGGTTAGATTCCTGGTCAGGGCACATGCCCAGATTGTGGGTCAAATCCCCAGTGGAAGGCATGCAGGAGGCAGCCAATCGATGTTCTCTCTCATTGATGTTTCTCTCTCTCCCCCTCTCCCTTCCTCTCTAAAATCAATAAAGAAAAAAAATTTAATAAGTAAATAAAAAACAAAAAAAAAACCTAATTTCTAGAAAGCAAGGAATTGCTGGGGGGGAAAAAGAAAAATCCCAAACCTACATTGATTAGGGTATGTCAAATGGACAAGGAAGCAACTGAAATAATTCTCAGTGGTCAAAGCTGGAACAATTTGAGCAAAATGTAGTATTGGATTATAACAGAGTGTGAAAGAACTATCCAGTTCATATTGATGATTGAATAAATAGCAGAGACGACAAATCTCCCTTGTAAAACAATTGCGAACAATTTAGAGATACTCCACCCACAAGGAGCTAGAGTATAATTCAACTCCCTAGTGTGAGCTGTGCAGACATCCTCCCGAGTCGTTGGGAAGGCGGTGGGAGTGGGAAAAGTAACTTTACAGTGGAGAAACTTGACAAATGTCACCTCTGACAGGTGATCAAGTCAGTATCAATGGTAATAAATCATGTCGATAGCATGTATCCTTTATATATGATGAAAATGGCACTTTACCTTTGTGGTCTTCCTCAAAGGTAACCCAGTAGCAAAACCCATAACCCAGTCTAACCATGAGAGACATCAGACAAATCCTAATAAAGGGGCATCCTACAAAACACTTGACCAGAATTCCTCGAAACTGTCAAGGTAATCATGGCAAGTCTGAGGGATCATCACAGCCAAGGGGAACCTAATGAAACATCACAACTAAATGAAATGTGTATCCTGGAAAAGAAAAAGGATATTTTTTAAAAACTAAGGAAATGTGAATTAGCTATGAACATTAGCCATTAGTAATATTATCAATGTTTTTCATTAATTATAACAAATGCATCAAACTAATGTAAGATAACAAAGGGGGAAATGGATGAAGGGCATCTGTAAACCTAAAATTATTCTAAAATATATTTTTTAAGTATTTCAGTCTACAACTACACATAGTAACATCAATATATAGAAAAAATGTCTAGTTACACTAAACCAGTAATGTTTTTTAATTTATTGATTTGAGAGAGAGAAGGGAGAGGAACAGCGATGTGAGAAACATCGACCCTGACAGGGGAGCAAAACTGCAACCCAGGTATGTGCCCTGACCGGGAATCAAACCACCACCCCTTGGTCTACGGATCATGGGCTCAATGCTCCAATGAACTGAGCCACAAAGGTCAGGGCTAAATCAGCATTATTTTTATAGTTTTCTTACCTAGACTACATAAATTATTTATGTGGAAGATATATACCTTTATCACTATCAACATAATTTCGGATATATTGAGGGGAAGGTAAAAGAGAAAATAAAAACCAGTTTAGGCTTCTCGTATCAGCAGAAAAGTTTTATTCCTTATAAGGACAAACAATTTAAACCACATCCAAGACCTTAACTTCCAGACACAAACCAAAGTAGCCATTTAAAGCGTGATATATTGAGGTACAGACATACAATGGGGAGATGCTTCTCCGTCTGGAGCTTACACCAAACTGCTCAATGGACAGCTGAGCTCCACTAGCGCTCGGGTGTGGCTGAGGGCTATAGCTACAGAACCAAAGGAGAATAGCTATGTTCTACGATACCGAAGCCTTTTAAGACTGCTTGGGCAGGGGTACACTTCGATGGTGAAGGGAAGAGGGGAGAAGAGCTCAGTGCCCACACAGGGCATTAGGCGGCCTTGCAGAGAGCCACGGCAGAAAAGCGCACCTCCCCTTGCTCACGCTCGGTGAATTCTCTGCAGACCTTGGCAGCGTCCTGAAAAGAAGCAATGTCCATTAATATCCAAACCGCGACAGTTCAGAATGGAAGTTTCTGAAAGAGAAAGTAGGCACCAGGTGGGAGAAACGGGGACTCTGGTGGAGGTGACAAAGGAGTCCAAGCCTCTGAAGTCGGATCTGTGATGCAAGTCTGAAGTTTCTGAAAGAGAAAGTACCGGTAAGGCCTCTGAATGCTCCAAGTGCAGCCTGGTCGACTTAAAACTTCCCATCAAACTTGAAAACCAGGGCTTATGCAAGAGATAAAAAATCACGTGCCAGGAGGGACAGACTTGCATCACAGATCCGACTTCAGAGGCTTGGACTCCTTTATTACCTCCACCAGAGTCCCCGTTTCTCCCACCTGGTGCCTGGTTTTGACAACAAAACTACACTATTCATGTTCTTTTCCTCAAGCTGAAACAAGATAGAAAATTGACCTCTCTTCCAGAACGGAAAAGTTCTTCTAATTCAGAAATGCCGATTAGAGAGAAATTTCTTCCAAGTAAACGTTTTACAAAACAGCCTTAAAAGGTTAAATACCTGGTATTCCAGGTACAGACAAGTGATGTGTTACTAATTCTAAGACCTAGATTACAAAGATTGGTAACAGAAAATTGATTTCAATTCAGGCATATCTTGTTTTATTGCATTTTGCTTTACTGAGTTCCAGAGATTTAAAAAAAACAAAACACTTTTATTGACTTTTAAAGACAGAGGGAGAGGAAGAGAGAAAAACATCAATGTGAGAGCAAAACACTGATCGGCTGCCTCCTGCACCCCCCCTACTGGGGATCAAGCCCACAACCCGGGCACGTGCCCTGACCAGGCATTGAACCAGTAACTTTTTGGTGCACAGGATGATGCCCAACCGAGCCCATGCCACACCAGCCAGGACTCCACAGACTGCGTTTTTTTTGTTTTTGTTTTTTAAACAAATTGAAAACAAGACCCTCCACCAACAAAAAGATTACAACTTGCTTTATTGTGATACCACTCTCTTTACCACAGAGGTCTGGAACCAAACCTGCAATATCTCGGAAGTATGTCTGTATTAGTTATTTACCAAATCCTAGGTTTTAAAAATGCCTTGGGATCATAAATATTAATCACTCTGTTCAATCTGTAGAGTCCATTTGAAAGATAGCTCCACAAACCACGTTAATTTATAAGATCTTTAATAGGACAGATAATACTCTATGACACAGAACATTAGCTCCAAAGTCTAGAAATCACTGACTTGATAATGTGTGTGGCCCTTAAAAAGATCAACCATGGCAGAATTTCATTCCTACTTTGAAACCACTTAGCAAAACTAAAGTGGGTCTAGACTGACATCTACATTTTATTCTGCCAGATTTTTTAATACAGTGTAATTCCAGACCTGTAGGGCTTTCCTAGTGTAGACAAATATGAAGTGTGGCCTCTAAAGAGAAAACAGCCACCTCCTGTGTAGACTATGAGCTGGGACTCACGTCATGCAAGTGTAGGATGCTTGGGTTAGTTTATGTATTTTCTCACTGGCTTAAGTAGATTGTGTGTCTAGTTTAGAAAACCTAAAACATCTTTGACCATGTAGAACCAGCCTCGCTCAAGAATTTTCACTAATTAAGATGCTAGTTTACATTCATTTGATTTGAAATAAAAGTCTAATTAGAGTTGGTTTTATTTTTTTGAACAGAAAAGTTTTACCTTCCCTACACCTCATAAATTCTCCTCATATAACAGTTGTAGGTATCCCATGTGGGGTGCATTTTATGGTATTAGTGTTAAATGTGAATCAGAATGGACCTCAGAGCTTTATTTGGAGAGTATTTCCCCTACATGAGTCATGACCAGAAACGTGGCCCTTGTTCTCACTCTCTCCCGTAAGTAAGTAAATGCTGACTCTCATGCAAATCTCCCCCCATTCTGCTCCTCTAGGTCTTGCTCTCATTCTATATTACTACTCTCATATACCTCTGCATATCCAAGAATTAGCTCCATTTGATCTCAGGTGTATATACCAGAAAACTGAAGCATGTGACCCTCCCTCCTAGAGTGGCATCATCTGGACCACTAGAACCTCCAAGTCGTCAGGTCTATGATGTTCCAAGGACAGGTCTATTGTATAGAAAGGCAGTGTTGTACAGTGACTAAAAGTACAGACTCCAGAGACAGACTGTCTAGATTTGAGCCATGGCTCTGCCATTTAAGTCATTGACCTTGGGCATCACTTAACCTCTACACCTCAGTTTCCTCGCCAGTAAAATGTGAACAGTAATACCTGCCTCACACTATCCTTAGGATTCTACAGAAGCTGTAAGTCCCTTAGAAGAGCACCTAGGAGAGGGATCAGCACTCTGCAGCGTGTGGGCCAACTCCAGCCTGCTGCCTGTTTGTGTGACTCAAGTTTCAGAGCAACAGCCACACACATTCATGTATCCAGTGTCTATGGGCTGCTTTGGAGCTGCAACAGCAGAACTGAAGACTTGCAACAGGGTTACATGCCACCCAAAGCTCAAACAGCTTGTCTGAAAAAGTTAGTCAACCCCTGGTCTTCACACAGCAAGGGCTGAAAAAAAAGATTAGCTGTTAGTACCACAGATGCAGCAGTTATACCTTAACAGCATTTTTTTTTTTATTTCATCACAATTAAGCAACTTTCCTTTATAACAGCAAACAGATTCAACTGCAGAGATGCCTTTTCAGGAGGCCTAGTGTGGTCAACGAGCTCTGCTCCAGAACTCAGAGGTTCTGTAGTCACTTGTACCAGGATGGTCACACTGTCATCCTGGATCTTAAAGTTCTCGTCAGGCATGTTTTGAATCCGCTTCTCTCGTCCTCTAACAGTGGACCATGTGGGAAGAAAATGCTCCTGAAGTTAACTGCCTAACCAGAACTCATAATACACTATGCCTACAAAACCGACCCAAATCCAGCAGTCTGGGAGGCATGAGGAAAGGCTCTGGTTGCTGTCCCACGAGTCATTAGCTAGGATGTATTCTGACAAGAGGACAATGGTCACCTTAATCCCACAAAGCAGCAAAGCAATGGCTTTCAGGCTAAGTCTAACTGTGGGCTAAAGACAGCACACGATACAGATTAGTCAAGGCTGCTCTGAAGGATCCTGTTTAAAACCACTTGCTACAAAATAAGGTAGGTAGAATTACTAAGATGATCTTTAAGCCCCAAAGAATGCTATTGTGGTGCTGGCTGTCTGAAAAGGTGTTAGCACTTCAGAACAGACAGCCTGGCTAACGACATGTGGGCCCCACTGGGGCCGGATCCAAAGCTCACCTGCAGCAGCGAGTCGTCTGCACTGGAGCCGTGGTTCACTGGAAAAGGCATCCGCCCATCTGCAACAAAGAGGCCAGGCATGTCAGTGTTCTCTGCACATTTTCTGACTACTGTGATTGTCCAGCCTAAAGTTTTAGATTCTTCCAAATACCACTGCCACTCCACAAAGAGATGATAAAGCAACATGCTAGAAATGAGGTTCAAGTGCTCCTAGGTATCCATCCCAGGCAACTGTCATCTACAAGTAACAAGATCACACAGCCCAATCCAGCAACTCTAACTGAAGGACTGTGTCCTGTCTCCTGGAAAGAAGCACAGAGCAAAGGGCAGATTCAGTGTCTGAGGTGCAGGAAGGTAGAGGCAAGAAGGGCCCCTTGCAATTGCTTTTGCCCCTCAATGACTGCCAATTAGCTCATTTGCCCAGTGTCTTGACTTGAGCCAACACAGCTTTCTCTGTTAATACAAAGAGGATGACTTTTACAAGATGGATCATCTTTCTGTTGCCATATACCAGTTAATAGAAATGTACAAATTTTTTTTACACCACCTAGGTTTTATTTAGCCATTTATCTTTTCCCCAAAGTATTCCCTGTTTGAAAAGGATGATGCTAGAGATTCTATGCTGTCAGCACTGTAGTGGAAAACTAGAAGAACTGAACACTCCCACCTTGACTGGTGCCGGTCGAGTCTCTTTACTGGTCTGACTAAAGCCATTCATTTAGCAGGTCAGTTGCCCAAGGGGACGCTCTGGGCAGCATAAAGGATTAAGTTCCCCCATGAGAATCCCATTGTTTTGGCTTCAGAAACAATGACATACTAAAGTGCTATACAGTTACACGCCAATACTGTAAAAGGAAGTAAGTATGAAAGAATGAAACTAGATTAAATTCCAAAAATGGAGTAAAACGTACCAAGTTCATAGAGGTGGCCATCCACGTTGTTAAACAGAATAAAGTGAAAGTTCACTTTGTCATCTACCTGAAGAGAGCCAAGACATTTTTTTGAAAATGGGTATTTATAAAGCAGAACTTAATTTGTTAAAAATAAATGTGATATGTAACAAATAAATATGCTTGAACCAACTTGTTTGTGTATTTTTTAATTATTATAGATAAGATTTATGTATTTAATATATTAGGCTCTAATCTAAGCTCATTAAGGTAGATATACTGTAGCTGTCAGAACTCTAGGACTTGCTCTATACTGAGGAGGAAATTAAGGCTTAGGAAGGATAATTATCTCATCCAAGGACAAGGCTAGAAAGTGGCAGAATGAACTATCATTAGAGAGGCAATGTAACTGACTTTAATCTAATTTAACATTTGACTAGAAGGCTCTGTTCAGGTTAATGGTACATAATCCTTCTAGAAATTGTCAGTCCTTGTCTGTATATCTTACTGTACCCAACAGTCTGTGAAAAGAATATGTGGAATGCTCAATTACTAGGTGGGGTGTTACTCTATTAGACTCACTTGGCTCTAAACAAAATACTATCAGTTTGAATTCACTCAAGACTATGTCAATTGCCAATTAGATTTAAGAGCCGTTTTTATAAACAGGTCGGTCAAAGCATTATTCCAGTAGAAGTTTTTATTGCTAACTGGCTCTGTTAACTGGGTGGAAGACATTTGTTTGCTGTGTTCCAGTAAGAGGTTACTGCACCTATTTTAGGGAAAACACAGGTGGCAGCGGGCAGCCAGGCTCTGCTTTGTCTTCGCACTTACCCGACACTGGCCTTCCTGCGCCACGGCGTCGTGCGCTGCCTGAATGGCCTGCGGACAAGAGAGAATCGTTAGCACAAAAACTTCCAGAGTTGCTGAAAAAGGGAGGTAGGAAGTTTTCTTCCTACCTCATTCTTTTCAAAGCATTTTGCTCTGTCTTCGGGGGACAACTTCTCCGTTTCAGAAAGAAACTGTTTCAGGACTGACCCATCCTCTTAAAAAAAAACAAAAAAGAATGCACATGTTAGTATAGATAAAATAATGCAAATGCGTGCACACTCATTGCTGATTTAAGCTGTCGCACAGCCGCCGGTCATGTTTAGCCACCTGAATTTTTACCACGGCCTCCCAGGATGTGGATGGGCTGTTCCTTCTGCCCAGACTCGTTTCCCCTCCACTCCCTGTCTGCATTCAAGCAGAGAACTCTCAGTTCCTCCCAGGTGTCAAGTGTGCCGGCCTCTGCTCCTGGCCACTCTCCAACTCCCATCTCACATTCTCCCTCAAATCTCTTACCATCCCCGTTACAGCACTTATCCATGGGTAACGTGTATTTGTAAGGTTTTTAGTGCCATAAAAACAGTCTTGTCTACTGCTGTATGTACAGCACCTGGCAATGCACAATTAACGTGAACTGCATACATGATGTAACAACATTCTAATCTAATATCAGTTCTCAATCAAGATTTTTATTTCAAGGTAGAAAATGCGAGCTTAGTCCTGCAGTTACCCAGACAAACATTAACCTAAGGATCTTAAATAGAAATGTTAAGAGCCAAACAGTCTAGCCTAGGGACAGCTGAAGGGCTGACGGCTAGTTTAAGTGTTTAGTCGCTGCTTGGTGTGGACAGTTCAAACCTCAACTTGAACTTTCAGTCTAAACGTAAAAAAAGTAAATTTGTGCCCTGGCCAGTCTGGCTCAGTGGTTAAAGCATTGCCTGCGCCCAGAGAGACCCGGGTTCAGTTCCCACTAAGGGCATGTACCTCGGTTGCAGTTTGTCCCCGGCCCCAGTTGGGGTTGTGCCGGAGGCAGCCACTCGATGTGTCCCTTTCACGTCGATGTTTCTCTCTCTCAATCTCTCTCTCTCTTTCTCTCTCTCTCTCTCTCTCCCTCTCTTTCCCTCCAGCTCTATCTGAACAAAAATGGAAAAATGTCCTCAGGTGAGGAAAAATAAATAAATAAATAAAGTAAATTTGTTAAGTTGGGACTATTCAAAATTTGGAAGTGACAGGAATCCTCTTAACTTTATGCAGGGGGCTGTGATTCAGATTAAGCCTTTGGCACCGTGATGACCATGGTTACCAAAAAAAACTACAGTACCTTTGCTGACCTCAAGAACCCAATAGTCTCGATAAAGTGAGACTGACTGCAGAAGAACTAGAAAGGACCGAGCTGCAACTTTCTAACACGGCTCAATGTAATATCTGGAAAAGCAACTTCTACAAGATCTGCATGTTTACAGCCAGGCAGGTGAGTTTTGTTTGTTTATTTTAAAAGTATAGCAGTTGTAGAGTCTTGGCCACATTTCCCTTATCAAAAGAAATATTTGACCTGCTATAAGCAACAGTGTGGACTATTAAGTTAAATTATTGTTCTTAGCCATCCCACCTAGTGTCTAAATCAATCTGCTGTCCATTTGTGTGAATAAAGTTCTGTTGGAACACAGCCACATCCTGTCCGTTGGTTCACATTGAATCTGGGGCTGCTTTTACATGACGAGGGCAGAGACCACATGGCCCTCAGGTCTGGAAGGATTTACTCTCCGGTCTTTTAAGAAAGTTAGCCAACTCCTGGCCTAAACCGGACATAATAGCCACGTAATTTAACATATTTTAGTGCTGTTAATTGTGCCTCTGATAAGCTTTAGGGCTGAGACCCACTTATTTCTTCTACATCCTCCTAAGCATCCACTGAAGATGGACTCAAGCCCCTGACCTGACTGTCCACAGCTGCATCCCTTCAAGGTTTGCGACTCTCACACTGTGTCCACCTGCTCTAAGGTGTTTTGTTGCTCCTGTTGCTTTTGAGAGACAGCACCATTACAGACAGGTCCTAACTATTGCTGTTTAGGGCTTAACAGTATCTCTAATTTTTCAGAATCATTGAGAACTGAACACAGGAGAATCACAACACTTGTTGGCCCTCGAGTGTTCTTTATCCCTCACCTGAAACCCTCCTAAGCTGTCAAAAGTGAAGAGCACACACAGAGTGATACAAAATTATCACTCCCTCTTCCTCTCCAGGTGGAAGAAGCCAAACCATGCTTCTTAGAAAATGAGTTTACCTCAAAAGAGAGAAAGAAGAATTCACCCACTGATTATATCTGGATAAGTAAGTTTCAAACATTTTGAAGGCAGTGTCTTTGCTGAATAGACCATTGTGGGTTTTGGAATGAAGACTGATGGTTAATTAGAGGTCAACTAGAGGAAGACTGGCCTCAAACTCACACTTACCAAATTCCAGTTTGTCTTGATTATTGGCCACTGCATGTATAAGTCCAATGGTTCCACAGGAGTTCCCAATGGTCTGCTTCATGAAGTACACTTTAGGGCTGACTTCTTGTCCCTTCAGTTCTTCAATCTGTTTTTTTCTGAAGTTCTCATGCTGTGAATGTAAAAAAACATGTTAATATCTCAAAATAAAAATGCAAAGAACAGATGGCAGCACAGTAAGTTCTACCTCCTAAATGGAAACAAAAGTAGGATGTGTGACCAGAAGCCTTGGTTCTAGATGCCAGCCAACGCCCAGGGAATGGCCTGTCTGCCTCCCAAACCCATGCCAGCCTGTGGGGTTCTGAGAGGTTCTGAGACTCCACCCTGATGCTGCAGTGCAGTAAGGGCCTTGGATATTGCCCAAGGCTTTGTCTAGACATCACTGCAGCCTTCTAGCTGGAAGTGGATGGTGCCACAAAGTCAAAAAAAACAGACAAGTTCATTATATAAACTCAAGATCTTAAATAGAAAACAAGTTCATTATATAAACTCAAGATCTTAAATAGAAACATAAAGAGCCAAAGTTTTCTTTTAACACCAACAATGACACTATCTCACATGATCATCCCAATCAAGTTTTGGCTAATTTATAGCCAGTTTATAGCCCACTATTTTTTAACATTCTACCTCTGTTCTATCCAAGTACACTTCTCTTCAAAAACAAGTCTTAACTGTTGAAAGCGCGATTTAAAGAAATTTATGACTTCCTCTCTCTTTTTTTGAAGGAAAGACAACTGACCCAGGGTGCTGGCTGTGATTTCACAAAAACTCCTCCTCATCCTACAGGAGAAAGACGTGACACTTGATTGTTCTTGCCAACTATAGTTTGAGGACAGATTAGCAATGGGAGGGGAAAGAGGTAGAGGCCAGTAAATGAATGAGACTAGTCATTTTCCTCAAAGCATCCATTCGCTCTGGGTCCAGTCATTTAGTGGGCTTGTCTAAACCTTTCACTAACAAGTTTTAAAAACCTTGCAGGTATGACATCTCAGTTAAAAGCAGGTCGCTAATGCTACAGAAACACTATTTCCCATAACCAGTATAATTCAGACAATGCCAGAAGCATATTTCCAGTTCTAGTAGCCCTCCATTACTGTACATGGCACTGAAGTTTGGGCCTTGTCTGAGACAGCTTCAGAGAAACACGATCTCTTTTCCCACAAGATCAACTTAAACTCCACAGCTAGTAGGAAGTTCTAGCATCATATATCTACCAGATTCTTGAACTGAGTTACTCATTGATGATTAAGGCTTTTCACTTTTCTAGGTTAATTAAAAATTTTTAAACAGGATAGCATCATCCTTTAGTGTTGTTTGAGCTCTTGCATGGAGACACTTATTTAAATACTTCATTTTCACTTAAAATTAATGCTTTAGAAGTGGTCCATTTAGGATTTCATAATATTCTCCTACATAAAATTAAATGCTTTCTAAATTAACATTAGTCTGTTTGGAAGTCAACCAACAAACCTCAACTTTTCTTTGAATTTGCTTTGGTGTTTAGCCCAGTAGGTGTTTTGTATCGCAGAACAGGTGCTCAATAAATCTGACAGACTGAACTGGAGCTAAAAAACTAAGTATTAAGCTCTTTCAAACAGAATGTTCAAACCAGACGTTCTCTAACAAGAACCACTTGATCCAACGAAAGGAGACCAGTGTGTTTTTGAAAGACAACCATGCTGCACCACTGCCTCCCAGAGGCCTTGCATCTGAGAGCTGCTCAAAACCTCCGAGTCATCATGGTTCCTCTAATAAGAGAGCTCCATGAGGGGCTCAAATAAGAAAGGAGATTGCATTTCATTAGGTCAACAGGGAAGTTAATTTGACTTGCAATTTTTTGCAGCTCCGTTTTTACCAAAGTAAAGCTTTGGCAATAAAAATCATGTCACTGGGGTATAATAAGGGTTTTTAACCCATTTATAGAAGGAATGCCTGGAACTTCCCATAGGGCTTAATTTATGCAGAGGGTGCTTCTACAACACCCAGACTTAGGATGGTGCTTCAGTTAAGCTCAAGCTGTTTGGAATGATGCCACAAATGCTAATGCCTCAAGTTTGGTTAAAGAAAATTTTCAACCACTCCCAAATCAGGGGTCAAGTGACAGCAATAGGAGATAGACAATACCATGCTAATTAGTGGAATTCCATACATCACAAGACAACAATTAACCCAGCTACCTTTTTTATATTTGATGCTCAGTCTTTGAGGTACATATATCCATGCACACTTCTAGGAGGAAGACCATCTAAAGGGAAATGGAAAGGTGTTTCCAACATTGCTCTAATGCACACCTATTTCATTTACCTACAAGGTCTGAGAGGAAAGAGGATAAGAGATGGAAGGAGGTTCCCACACAGGAACCATATACAAATAATTAAGCTTTTTTTCAAAAGCACACTGGTGAGGCTAAAATCCAAGTGTGCACGTTGTAGGCAGTGGAAGAGTGGTAAGAATTCCAGGAGTCCACGGGTTACCCAGGCAGTGGAGATGGAGAATTAAATAACCTATTGTTTTCTTGTGGTTTAGGCAAGTCCATCCCCCTCCTTTTAATAGCAAGGTAGGAGTCTGAGAAACAACACACTGGCAGGTGACAGCCCTTAAAGGGAAACAACCAGCCATGCCTTGGACTGGAAGGCCCAGAAAAACCTAGGTTCAAAGGACTTATGAGTAGGATGAATTATTTCCCTGAGGGATGATGGAACTGAGATCCTGCTTCTCTTCCAAATTGGAGGCAATGCTGGATGGATGAACAAGGGCAATTACAATGAGTAGGTACCAAGAGTGTGGGCTCCTCCCTCCATCCCCCACAGGGAGGGGACAGTTTTTTGCCAGGTCTGGGCACCTAAGCCAGATGGGAAGAGGAGCCTGGAGTCTATACTGCCCTCGATGCCTGATTTTGGTTCGGGAGCGGTGCGCACCCCGGCCCCACGCCCTACCTGGGCGGTGAGTGGAAACAGCAACAGCAGCGCGCAGGCAGGCGCCGGCACCGAGCTCAGCGCGTCCTCCTCCAGCCCCAGCACGTCCACGAAGCGCCACTGGTTGGCGACCCCCAGCCGCGCCAGCACCTGCAAGGAGACAAGGCGGCCAGGCTCGTGGAGACAGGCAAATAAATGGTGGGCACGCGCCGGAGGGCGGGGCAGGCAGCACGCTCAGCGCCCCCACCGGAGCCTGGGAGGAGTCTCTGCCCGGTCCCCGACCCGCCGGCGCGATGACACAGCACAAAGCGCGGCCCACACGTGGCTCCCGCGAAGCCGGGGCACCGGAGTCCCGCCGCCCGAGCCACGCCCTCGGGAGCTGGGCCGGGCGCCCGCATTTGGGTGCAGCCTCCTCCTCCACCTGCATCCCACCCCCGCCCCGATGCCCGGGCACAGGGACAGTGTCCGGACCGTGCCCCAGCCCGGCTTCTCTGGAGCACGCAGGACGCCGTTAAGTCCCTGCAAAACCGCCGGAGCAGGTGGGAGCCTCCGCCCGGGCGCTCCCGGAGGGGAGGGGGACAGAGGCAGCACGAGACGCCACTCACTTTGTTCAGCATCTGAAAGACAAATGCAAAAAATAAATAAAAATCAAACAATAAAACCAGTCAGGATACGGCTCCCTGGCATGGGCTGACCCTCAGTCAAGCGCTCCCGGGGCCTCGGTGCACCTGACGCTCACCTCGGGGTTAATCTCCATGGGTTTGAGCTGCATCGTCGCGAACCACAGGTGAAGTCACCGCCCGGAGAAGAGGAAAAACAGCGAATGGAGCCGCCCAGGCTGCCGCTATAAAGCGCTGGCCTGACGCACTGTAGGTGCCTGCGCAGGGGGATCGGGGCAAAACCAACGAGGGGGAAACGGTCAGTCTCAGCAAGATGGGCGCGAACTCCCCTATGCGCAGCGCGGTGTGGTACGGCCGGGCCCCCAAACCTTGCAGTCTCGCTTGCTGGTGAGAAAATCTGGTGGTTGTGGAGATGGGTTGGCTGGTGGGTGTTCCTTGAGTGTATGGAACAGTCCTTTTGACGAAGTCTAATTATTTGCGAAGTTTCTGGAAACTCTTCCTTTCTACCGTCCCCCTTACCGAGAATCTCAGGGTTTCTTGAAACGTTGAGAAAAAGCCCAAGTTCAACAGGTATATATTTAATATGAATATAAATAGATGTCTCCCAAATCTCGTAGCAGTTTGCATTTGACCTTAGACAATCCATCCTCCATGTTAAATCAGACCAGTACCGGGTTTCGGTTTTTTAATGGACTGATTAGGATAAAACAAAGTCTGGAATATAACAGATATTGCATTAGTAATGCTGATGTAATGTGACTCCCTGAGCAGAACTGGTAGGTCATGTGGAAGCTGTGGAACCCTGGGGGATGTGGGCGAAATACAACACCCAGAAAGGCAGGGGGTGGGAGACTTGAGGGGACAGGTCCAGGGAAAAGACGGGTATGATTTCCAGGCGAAAGGATGGAAAAAGAAAAACATATGTAAAAGAATGGAGGCTTTGAAAAATAAAATTCTGAGTTCAAAATAATACACAGTGAATAAGAAAGGGATTGGCAAGTAAAGAAACCACTGTGCTCTAATGATCTCAGGCAGAGTTTGTTTTTCCTATCTGCCTATTAAAAAGATGGAGAGGAAAAGCATATGCTGAAGGATGAATAAAAAGAGGAACAAAAACCTATAAGAATTATGCCAGGAAAGCTAAACTTTGGAATGAAGTGGGGTTTGCAGAAATACTAAGGAAGCAAGAAGGTTGGGTATTTTTTAAAAATCGTCCTTGGAACAAGACAATGATGATGGTGAAAGCAGACTTCCTGTTTAGGGGGTCCAAGGTTAATTAATGGATGACAGAGAGAAAGGAGGGAATCTATATTGTTGGTGTTATTACCTCTACAGTGGATCAGATCTTTTGTATGTCATTTCACTTAATCCTTAGAGTATCCAGTGAAGAAACCCTTAATAGTGCTATTTTATAGATCAGAATCCAAGGCTTAAAGAGGTTATTTGCTTATCACAACAGAAAAGTGAAACAGAAGTAAACCCTAGCAAACTGGGCTCTAGAAGTACATTCTCCATCCAAGGTTTCACTACATTCCTCTTCTATTTTTTACACATTTTATCCATCAGAAAAAAATGACCTTTACACAGAAAATGAGAGGAAAAAACAAAATGTGAAGAATTTAATGAATGAATTTTATGATATGTAAATTATGCCTCAAAAAAGTTGTTAAAAAAAACAAAAGACATCCCCAGTGGGGGGCATGCAGGAGGAGGCTGATTGGTGTTAAAAACAAAACAAACAAACAAACAAACAAACAAACAAAAAGACAATAACTTGAAAGTCAAGGCAGGTAAATATGTAGTACAAGAACACCTGGCTATGTTGAATGAGTTCTTGCCTTCAAACAGAAACAAATTATGTCCATCCCAATTTACTTCATTTAGTCAACAAGTACTGGATTAAGCACCTACTTCCTGATGGGCACTGAGCATGGTATTGGGAACATAAAGGTGAACACAGTAAATAAACATGGAAACTTCCCTCATGGAGATTTTATCAATAATAAGAGTGGTGTCAAAGGGAGTCAGGAGCAGGGGATCAGGAAGGCTTCTGAAAGTGAGTCACATTTAAGATAAGGGCTGATGGACAGGTAGACAGTTATTACCAAAATAAATAGTAAAAATGGTCATGAAAACACTATTAAGAGATCTTTGTAAAAGGCATTCATTCATTCACTCAACAAATATTTAAATTGAGTGCATACTAAGTGCCAGGAAACATCAGAGCAATAAATAAAACAATTAAACAACTCCCTGCTTACAGGGCAATACCGGAGACTGAACATGAATAAACCTTATACTGATCTTTAAAAAGGTAGGATGGGAGGAAGGAGTACACTGCTAAAACTACAGGTCAGGAGATTTGATAGCAGTCATTAGCCAAAATCTAGAACTCATATTTTGTGAACTCTTAGGGGGAAAAAATACAGAATGGATGCATTTAGAACAAAGTATGCCAGCCAGCAGTTAGCTGCTTTTCTTCAGAGGTTACTAGCTAGATAGACAGGTGGAATACTTCTCATTGTATTCTTCATGATGCCTGGGTTGGCGTCAATTGATATTATAGTTGAGGTGGTTTTATAGCTTATTTGAATTATTCTACCTTTAAAAAAAAAGTGCTGCTGAACAGAGTAATCTCAACCTGCAGCCACCTGGCCATGGTTTTCACCCTGTCCTGTGCAGTTTTATTAGAGTAGAAAGATAGAATGTGCATGCATGCAAGTGAGAATAAGCAATCTAAATTATGAGATTTAGAAAAATAAGTTTAACATAAGATGATGAAAGTTAATAGAGATTTTGATGATGGCCGTACACTCTTATGACTAAAAAGATCTTTAAATGGGTGAATATCTCAATAAAACTGTTAAAAATTCAATAGAGATATGTGTGAAGCTCTCCATGTCAATTATCACAGTACAGTTAATTGTCATATTCACTTTTTTCTTGATTCTATGGTTATAAAAATAATTTTATTACTTTATATGGAATATATATTATAATAACGGATTATATAATATAATATGAAAAATGTCAAGTGAAAAACAAATCATAACATCTTGATTACAACCTTTAAAAATGAATATATTAAAAACAGAAGGAAAACCATTTTTTAAAAGTCAGTTAAACATTTAGGGTAAACATGGGGCAGACCTGTTATAAGTGGCGAAACAAAATCAATGAATAAGTTGTCCTTCATAAATAAAGACACCATTTCTAAAGATACCATTTCTAATTCACCAGCAATAGGATTTTTTATAAGTATTATTATTTTTAGTAATATTTAAGATTTAGAATGGACCCTTTAGAAACTACCTTCTTACGATTCTGATCTCTAGTAAGACAAAGATTAAAATATCCTTGGCAGGTCAGTTCTGCAATGTTATGGGAGTCAATCCTGAAAGCTCACCCCCAAGGTTAGTCCTTCAGCATTTCCAGTGGTTTTGTATGCACTTAATTCCCTGTATTAAATCCTTTTTCACCTACTGTAGGTTTGGACTCCTCTATGGGTAGGGCATGCATACCAATAGTGGTGCATGCAGTCCTGCCCTAGCATCCCTCAGTTACATTCTTGTGCAGTTGCCATTTGGGAAATCAGAGGGCTTTGGTGGGCCTACATCAACCACCAATGGTGTGAACATAGACAGGTTAATTAACCTCTCTTTATCTCAATTTCCTCAACAGTAAAACGAGGGTTTCATGGACTCTATGATTTCTCCCAATTCTGGCATAGCGAGGAACTTGAGCAGCAGAAAATAAAAGATATACAGACCAAATCATGTGAAGTTTGAGTTAAGTCTACTTTCGTCTCTAATTCCTTAATTTTAGCCATTGGGTTTTTTAAATGTCACTAGGATATAATAAACAAGATTTATCAGGTAAAATAAGTTCCTGAGGTGCCTTAGATATTTGTTACATATTTCCTTTTACCAGGAGATTGGTATATGAACAATAGGATAAGCAGGAAAAAAAAAAAAATAAGTCTAAAAATATACCAGGGAAAAACTGTTCTTTTGTTTGTTTTTTGAGAACACAGCTGAGTTTAAGACCTAACCAAGCATTTTTTTCAGAATCCTTCTAGTGAATAAATCAATATATAGATGTGTCTTGGTCTTACCGGGATGTTTAACTTCAATAGCCTAAGAACATTTTTAAAAATCTGAACAAGTTAAACTGGGGAGGGAAAAAAACACAACAACCTCAACCCATGAATTCAGTACCCTAAAAAACTTAGTTTCGCCCTGGCCAGTTTGGCTCAGCGGTTAGAGCGTCCACCTGCGGTCCGGAGAGACCCGGGTTCGGTTTCCGCTAAGGGCATGTACCTCGGTTGCAGTTTGTCCCCGGCCCTGGTTGGTCGTGCGGGTGGCAGCCACTCGATGTGTCCCTTTCACATCGATGTTTCCCTCTCTCTCTCTTCCTCTCTCTCCCTCCCACTCTGTCTGTACAAAAAATGGAAAAATGTCCTCGGATGAGGATTAAAATAAATAAATAAATAAAAAATTAGTTTTATTTCTCCACATATTTCTTCCAGTATTTGTCCATTTGTGTAGCAAATTCTGTTGGATTCCCAACAAAAATGCATTCTCTTTTTTCTTCCTAACCTGGATGCCCACTGTTCTAGCCCCAAATCAATACTGCTTTCTCAGACCCCAGCTCAGATCTACTTTCTGGGGGGAGTTAAGGAGTTTGGAGGAGGAAGGGGGTTGTCCTTGGAGCTCTGCTTTGCCCCTTGTGAGACCAGCAGTATTTCAGGTAGTGTGTCCTACGTAGTGTCTTAGTACACCTTCAGTGGAACATCCTCCGAGCACTAGGTCAGCCATAATTCCAGAGGCAGATACTCTGTTCCTTTGTATCGGCTACCAAACTTGCATCAGTATTTTCTACTGCTTTTGTGAAAACTAACCAGAACTGAGCCTCATGACCATGTCAGTAAGGGAACTTTGATTACTTCAGGAGAGGGGGAAGCACATTGTATCTTAAGAAAAAAAAAAATAAAAAGAAATCCATGTTGTATCTCAAAAAAGACAAATTAAAGAAACGTATCTCTAAAAAAAAAAAAAAAAAAGTTTTGTTTTTTTTTTTAATCCATGCTTAGGTGTAAGCTGTGAAACTGCAGAACTCTAAGAACCAAGAAAGATTTTAGATTTCAGCCACTGAGAAAGCATAAATGAAAATGACATCAGTCTCCTCAATAGCAATCAAGGAAGCTCGTTAACAGTGA